GGGGATAACAATCCCCCTATATAATAGCAAAGCACACTGACAGGTCCTCTTTATGGAGACATTAGGTCACCTGTGGACCCCAAAAGAAGCTGATGAAGCAGAGATCTGCTTCATCAGCTTCTTTTCTCTGGCTATAGCAGCCAGATGACTGACAGGTGAATGCGGAAGTGATGTAATACACATCCCTTCTGCATTCACAGCCCGGAGGGAGATCAGCAAGGAACTTATCACCCTTCCTATAGAGCCGCCGATCGTCTATGTGTGAAACACCCGGTAACGGGTGTTTGCATTGCACGGGTCTTTTCTGCCCGTGCGCACCCGCAGAATAAAAATGCCGCCTGGAGACGGCAACCCACCAATGCAGCAGTGCCGTCCGTCCGTTTTTTTACAACAGGCGGACAGCAACTGGTTAATATATATTACTGTCTGTCCCGTTCCGTAAAGTGACCTCTTGGTTTGGCTAACTTTCATAGCCAACCCTCCCAGTTTTTGATATGCAGTATAGGTCACGGACACGGTAGATAGACCAATCATATCTTTAATGAGGTGTCCTCTTCACAAGTTCGGATCCCCAGGAGAGAACCATTTTTTTTGTTGTGAGTCATTACACGCCGCTTGGCTTCCTGAATGGGACTTCCATTACTCGGTAATTGGTATCGGCGAGTACCAAAAAAAAAATTAATCGGTAACGTACTCAGTACCACAATACCGGTATCGGTGCATCCCTACTACTGATGTAAGACTAACCAATCTGTAGTTCCCAGGTTGGCATCTTGACCCATTTTTGAATATTTGTACTACCGTAGCCTTCCGCCAGTCGCTTGGTACTCTACCAGTTATTAAGGAGTCCTTAAAAATGAGGAATAATGGTTTCGTTATAACCTGACTTAGTTCTTTAAGTACCTTGGGGTGCAGGTTATCTGGTCCTAATGCTTTCTTTGCATTAAGTAGTTTAAGTCTATGTTGTATCCCGTTTTCCGTCACCCACTGTGGTACATTTTGTGATGAACTATGTGTTTTCTTATGCACATTAAACCCGTCCTTTTCCTGAGTGTGTACTGAGGAGAAAAGGGTATTAAACGCCTCGGCCCTCTCCCTGTTGTTGGTGAATAACTTCCCGTTTTCGTCCTTTATTGGGCCTATCTGTTACTTTCTAACCTTTTTACTGTTTATGTATTGGTAGAATTGTTTGGGGTTCCTCTTACAGAATTAGGCTATATGTTTTTCACACTCTATTTTAGATTCCCGAATTACTTTTTTACATCTTTTATTACATTCTTTGTAGTTATGGAACGCCAATGTCGTCCCCTCCATCTTATATTTTCTAAATGCCAATCTCTTGTCCGTGATGTGTTGATTCAGTGTTCTATTTATCCATACAAGCTTTGTTTTTGATCTTTTACCTTTGTTACCCAATGGTATACACTTGTTAATCGCTTGTTGTAATGTGTTCTTAAAACAATCCCACTTCTGGTTAGTGCTCAGTTTGTGAAATAAGTTTTCCCATTTGATGTCACACACTAGCTGGCGTAGCTTATCAAAGTTAGCCTTTCTGAAGTTTAGGGTTCTTGTCCAACTAGCCCACTTCCCATTCCTGTACCCAGGAGGAGAGCGCTGTGAGAGTTTCACAGGAGGCTAAGGCTCTTCATCGCCCTGCTCGGTCTGCTGCGACAGGCAGAGACTCGGGATGGAGAGTGGGGAGGAGACAGCTGACAGCTGTCACAGGTGGCCAAGCCGGCATTGCGGTGGAGGAGTCAGTTGTCAGCCGTGTCACAGGAGGCTGAGCTCTCCTCACCGCACCACCGGCTCCGCCTTCTGTGACAGCTGGGTGTCAGAATGGAGAGCGGTATACACAACACTCAGCGATCAGATTGCTGAGTGTTTGTGAATAATTGAGGACACAGTATGTTTACTGTGTCCTCAATTATGAATTAACAGGAAGTGCTCTACATCACTTCCTGTTCATGCATGATTGTGGACATAGTAACATACACTGAGTGGCCAGATTATTATGACCACCCCATCAGTACTTCGTTGGGCCGCCTCATGACTCCACAAGATGACTTTGTTGGGCCGCCTCATGACTCCACGAGATGTTGAAAGGTGATGCGAGGAATCTGACACTGTACTGCCCTTCTGTTGTCTTGTACCAGTCTTGCCACTCTCCGTTCTGCCCTAACATTGACAAGTCGCTGACGGCCACAATTTGCACGGTCAGACCCAGATTTTCGGCTGACAGTCCAGTCTTTAAACACTTTAACAACAGCTGCTCTTGAACATTTAACAAATTCTGCTGTTTTGCTGATACTTGCTCCATGGCTCCGGGCGCCAACAATCATCCCATGCTCAAAGGCTGTTAACCCATATCTTCAGAAAAAAATCACTTCTACTGTCGTGGTAAACAACCTGCTTCCCTATTTATAATTATCTGGCCCTCTAGCAACTCCAGCGCGAAATTATAGCTAATTTGCCTACAAACGTCAGGTGGTCATAATAATCTGGCCACTCAGTGTATACTATATCCACACTTTATGAATGGGCAGGAACACTCAGTGTAGACGCTTCCTGTTTATTCATAGCAGGGGCTTCAGAATAAGAGATTTAGGACTCTGTGTCCTCAATCTCTTTTTTTTTTAAATCTGTTTAGACCACTGACATTTCCCCATAGTAATAATAATAATAAAAAATAAATAAAAATTAGAAAAGGTTAGAAAAACAAAATTCAGTTTTAGATTTGGCCTGACAAATTATTTTTTGTTTCGGTCTGAAAATTCAATTTCGGTGCACCTCTAATTTACCCTTTGACCCAACATGGGGTATTAAACAGCAAGGATTAGAATACCTCTCCAGGTTGTATGGCTGCAATGGTGCACTACAATTCTGCACACAACAAAACACTCAGACATGTGATCCCAAGCTTGCAGAGATGTCACTGCTGCTCTAACTCTAAACTGCCCTTTTCCAATAAAATTACAAAAACCTCAAAAACTAGCAGAAAAATATAGCATTGTTTGGCTGAACATTTCTCCTCACAACAATTTGTCAACAATTTAGTATAATAGCTACGGGCTCTAATGGTATTTTTTCTTATTACCTTTTCATTTATTTTATTAGATGGAAGAGGCAGATGACTGGCTGAGGTATGGAAACCCCTGGGAAAAAGCCCGTCCAGAATACATGATTCCTGTGCATTTTTATGGCAAAGTTCAACACACTTCAGAAGGCACTAAATGGACTGATACCCAAGTGAGTGAGCTTTTAAGATCTATTCTACAACTGCTCATATCAGTTCTGGAATTGTCATAAATTGAAATGTATGATTGTAGCACAATTCCTTCAATTCTTTCCAACAAGGTAAAATCTCTTATATAGGGCACACAGTCAGCAATATGATATTTCTGTAAGTATATAAGGTGGCCCTGGACTTATTGTGCAAGAATGGTTTTGATTGTGTTGGATTTTATTATTAAAAGAGAACTATGGCCAAAGCTTTTTTGGATGTAGTTCTCTTTAGGATCACTGGAGGACATTTCATAATGTCAGTGCTGGAGGAACAGAGAGGGGAGGGGGGAATCACTGTGGGGAGGCAGGAGCTCTGCAGGGAGAAGATTGTGAACTGAGTGATCAGCAGTATGTGATTTGTATGTCATTTTTTTTAAAATAGTTAAGGTAGCCGAATGCATTTTAAAGATATAACTCCTGAGTTTAGTGTCACTTAAATACTATATATATATTGCTCTGCTAATGCCCAACACAGTGCTACAATAACAATAGTCTTAAGGCAAATAGTGATGAGCCGAACACCCCCGTGTTTGGTTCTAATTCGAACTATTTAAAATGGAAAAAGCTCTGATTCGAACTTAGAACTCAATGCAAGTCAATGGGGGTAGAACTTTCAAAAACAATTGTCCCTTTTAAGAGGGCTTATATGCACGTTATTGGCCAGACAAACTGTATGGGGATCTGGGTACTGCCCTGGGGGACATGAATCAATGGAAAAAAAAACTTTAAAAAAAATATCATTTTTAAAGCAGCATTGATTGTAACATCACTTAAAGTGTAACAATAAAAATGAAAAATTCCTTTAAATATCATGCCAAGGTGGTCCCCTTAACCTGCCTGTAAAGTGGCAAATCTGTACGATGTATAGAACCTGCTGCAGCAAAACCAAAACATTTTAAGAAAAAAAAATGACATTTATTTTTTTAAAGCATGCAATTCCCCCTCCCAAACAATACCTTTCTACTGAGTTGAACTAGAGTTTAATTATCCTCTCCTGTTCATCTCTTCATGTCCTCTTCATCCAGACAGTAGCATAGGTGGTATCAGGCTCACATGATAGGGAACCCCTGGAGTTGCAATTAGGAGGGGACTAGCAGAGGGGAAAGCAGCACTGGCGCTAGTCAGGAGATGGGTGAACTAGAATTCTATACCACTCTCCAGCATTCCATACCATTCTCTAGCAATAAAAGTTGCAAACTCACAGAAGAGGAAGGTGAGCCCAGAGATGGGGAGACTGAGTTAGGAATTGGGGGTCAAATCTAAATACATGTAAAACGGATGCTTGTAGTAAATTGAATTCTGCAGCTGTGGTATGCAAAAGATTAAGCTGGAATCAGAAGTGGCAGAATACCCTTGTGACTAGGAGCGCAGAGAGAATACACGGAGGCAAATCACACGGAACCTGGCGTGCAGGGTGTTTATTGGGGAATTCAGGTATACAAAGCAAGGTACAAAGGCCGGGGTTAGGTCCTGGGGGGTTGCTGGCCACGGGGAGGGTCAACCCAGAAGGTAGGCAACGGGCCAAGGAAGGAGTAGGTCCAGAGTCACAATGCTAGTAGTCCAGAGGTCAGAGGTGCAGCAAGAGGTAATCCAACAGGTAACAAGGCACCGTGTGAGTACATCCAGTAACGGTAGAACAACAGATCCCAGCAGGCCTCCCAGCAGCAGTGGAGCAGAACAGGCAGGGTTAAGTGCGTATCCTTTTGAATCCACAGATAGAGACCGGCATCACCGCAGCCTCTAGTCCACCAGTCAGCGAGGAAGAGAGCATGAAGCCTTCCCACCAACACTTACAAAGGTCCCGGGAGGAGCCGGCAGGGGAGGGGAGAGGGAGTACAACCCCCCCCCATGTGTCCTTTGTTCTGGAGAGGCTACAATGGAGGGAAACAGCAGACATGTCCTGGCTTGTTGTACCATGTACACATTTTAGTATCTTGTAAATGGTTTAATATATGTACTCACAGTAGTTTTTCTATAATTGTAAGAGTGAACAATGCAATGTATGCAATATCCTACCATTGGTTGTAACTATAACACTAGAAGTAGCTAAAATATTCCATAAAACATTCTGCTGCTATACTAATAGTAGGGGATTCATAATTCTTTTTGCCACTGCCTACATTACTGTCACTGAAAACAATATAACAGCATTGTTCTTTGCTTTTCAGATTGTTCTTGCTCTTCCATATGATACTCCAATACCAGGATTTAGGAACAATACTGTTAACACCATGAGACTGTGGTCAGCAAAGGCACCCAATGAATTTAATTTGAAAGACTGTAAGTATTTATTTTTTTCATCAATAAAGAAAGTGCTCATGTTTACAAAAATAGAGATTGTTACATGAAAGGTGTGCTAAACTAGCAAAAGATGAAAAAGTGCCATGAAATCATGACTCTTAAAGTAGTATTAAACCTTACTTTTTTGCATATATCTACTGCTAGCAAGCAGTGGATATATGCAAAAACATAAAAAAAGAAAAAAAAAGTCACCAAAAAGGATATTTTTCTTCTTTTCAAAGAGTTTCATTGAGTTTTTAACATTGATACAAAAGTATGTAGCATAAACAGAAGAGTGTCAATAATAATACAGAGCAGCAGTAAGCAATGTAATGTGAAGGTATCAGAAATGTTTCAGTAGCTGCAACAGTTGACCTCATGGTAAGGGAGCATAGGAAAAAAAACAAAAAACTACCATGAGGGCATCCAGGTAGACATATGAAGTGTATAAGAACAGGAGGTCAAGTAGAAAAGAGGGGGAAAGGTAAGAAAAGAGAAGGGAACCCCCCCCCCCAAAAAAAAACGTGATTAGTGAGGAGAAGGGGAGGTGTATGGGCTGGTTGGAGCGCTCTAATGTGCCGCATGAATAAGGAGTCTTAGTGGTTTAGTGGGAGTTGGAATACTGACCGCGTCACAGTGTTAGCAGGAGTGGGTCAAAGGACGGGGGGAGGAAATGGGTGACCCAAGATTCCCACATTTTTTCAAACGTAGGCATGTAGCCTTGGGAGCGAGCCAATAATATTTCATTATAAAATGTCCAATGAATTTTACTTCTGACTTCTGAAATAGATAGTAAAAAGGTTAATTTTTATCTGTGTCTCCGCCGCTCGTTCACGTCCGAAAATCTGAAAAATTCTCGAGCAGCCATGAAGGATCAAGGGGTGGGCACATGTGCAGTAGAGATCTTCGGCCGGGAGAAGAGGAGATGCACAGGGTAAGTCAATGCAAGCAGCATGCATGCGCACAGACACAGTGGGACAGGAAGACACAGCAGTCAGCGCTGGATTAGGGACTGGCACTAGCGCTGGAGGGATTGCTGAAAACTACTGGAAAGAAGAAAATTATGGGATCAAAAGGCATTGTTTAAGGTAAGTCCCTAAAGCAGCATTTAATGCCACTTTAACTACATGTAGTGACTGGATCATTATAGACATATGGCCAAATCCAGTTTGCTTTGACAGGATTTAAAGCAATCGCATAAACTACTTATTCAAACACTCAAGGTATCTCAAGATGTTTGATGATCTGGTCATATTGTATATGTTTTCTAACAGCTGGGAAATTGATCAGCTGTGCTTGTTTAAAATTGATCTGCTTGATTTTTTCCTACAACTTATAATAAATATACTTATAGTTTTTCTCTAAATATTTATAGCTTCCCTCTAAATATTAGTTTCTCCTTTCTGGGATCCCTATTTCTGGCTGTGCAACAGTAAGTGCCACAAAGCTACTTCCTGTCTGAAGCCCTGTTGTTTTCATTCCCCTCTGTAGTCCTTAAGACCACGGAGGTGAGGTCATCACGTTTGTAATTTGCAAAGTAAGCCCTCCATATTTTTCCACCCACTGACAGCAAAGCCAGGACATTTTCATCTCTCACTATTCCTGGTGCATGTTTTCTCATACAGGACACTGACCAATAGGGCATTCTACCTCCCATTAACCACCTACATTAGGGCGTTCTTCTTTCTACACAACACCACCACTATGGCATTCTTCCCTCCATTCACCACTGACAATTGGGGCAATTTTTTTATTCCCATTGACGTCGGGACATTTTTTCCCTCTTACTGACCACCAATGGCAGGGCATTTTGACTCCTACTCACCACTGATGTTGGGGAAATGTTCCTCCCACTGACACCAGGGCATTTTTCCTTTCACACTGACTGCTCATGCTTGGGATTTTTGGGTTGCTTGATTTTCTTTCCTCCCATTGATTTTGGGGCACTTTTTCCTCACAGATTACTGATTCCAGGGCTTTTTTTTCCCTTCCACTGACTGACATCCACTGGCATCAAGGCCTATTTTCAATGCTCCCAGAACTTTTAACCCTAGGAGTCACACTACAAACTTAATTTGAGCACCCTTTTCAGTTATCAGAAGGGTGATCCAGTGGGTGGTGTAGGAGAAGTACCAACCCTATTCGAACCTGTTTGTCCAGGTGTCTATGGTGTTATGCACCTACCCTGATGTGCTAGCTGCTCTGCCACAGAGGTGGAATTCCATCTGCAGGATGTATCTGATAAGGACTGTGAGAGGGTGGCCTGCCTCACCCACACCACCACTGCTTGGTCCTGCTGTGGAGGAATAGGCCTGGTTCCTCATGTTTTCTGAATATCGCATGCCTATTACTGCTGCTGCTGCGTTTGCAGTTATGCTCACCAAGACTAACATAGGTTGCACTAGCCTGTTGGTGTGTCTTGGAGGGTTTTTTGGTGGCCAATAGGTCTATGGCCAAGCAAGGAAAGGACATATAGAAGTTAATAGTAGGTAAAATGCAGAGTGCCCCCTATTGATAAAAAAAATCCTCTCTCCTCTCTATACAAAAACTTTGGTATTGCATTGCACCTGCTGGTGAGTCCCTTCTGCCCCAACTCCGTCATCACCCACATTTTTTTTTCTAAATGTAATTTATGCTGCAATTGTTAGAATACATGGGCACCACATGGTTAATTATGACAATCCATGAGCAATACACAGTCATGGGGGTCATGATGATGTGCTGTGGCCCCCTGGTAGGTCATCATGGACTGGTCAAGTATCAGAAGTGGATTGAAGTGAAGGAGTCAGTATTAGGTCACGTAGAGTTTCGAGGTCAGTAGTATGTAATGCACAGTGCAGGAGTCATTAGTATGTAATGCAGAGTGCACAAGCCTGTAGTAAGTAATACAGAATGCATGGGCCTATAGTAAGTAATGCAGTATGCACGAGCCTATAGTAAGTAATGCATTGTGCACAGGCCTGTACTAAGTAATGCAGAATGCACAGGCCTGTAGTAAGTAATGCAGAATGCAGGGGGTCAGTAGTAAGTAAAGTACAGTTCAGGGGTCAGCAGCTATAAGTAACACAGAGTGTAGGGATCAGTAATAAGCAACACAGTGTTCAGAGGTCAGTAGTATTGCAGAGTGCAGTATTGCAGAGGACAATAGTATGTAAGACAGAATGCAGAGGTCAGTAGTAACGCAGCATGCATGGGCCATTATGAAGTAACGCAGACTTCAGGGGTTACTTGTAACGCAAAATGCAGAGGTCAGGAGAAAGTAATCCACAGTGCAGAAGTCAGTAGTATCACACAGTGCAGAGATCAGTAGTAACACACAGTGCAGAGATCAGTAGTAACACACAGTCAGAGGTCAGTAGTATTGCAAAGTGCAGAGAACAGTAGTAACACACAGTGCAGAAGTCAGTAGTAACATACAATGCAGAGGTCAGTAGTAACACACATCGCAGAGGTCAGTAGTATTGCAAAGTGCACAAGACTGGGGTTTTGTCATCATGAGACATGCGAGACAAACCTCCCCCTCCCCTCTCTTCTACCTTATCCTCCTACAGACACAGGCAGCCAATTAGAAAAAACATTACAAACATGTAGGTAGACAGATTGTCCTGCAGCCCATAAGCCATGGAAGCTATTGGAGAAACAGGGATGAATCTGGAAACACTTTTTATTCAGTTGACAGCCTTCTAACATTGGGGATGTCTGGTCACCCTATTCCATAAGTTAACAACCTCTACCCAACCCTGTAATCAAAGGCATCATTTTTACATAGAAAAAGTTTTTAAAGCTATTGTTGCACTTTGCCCATGAACTGATGTTGTAATTCCAAATGAACTGACATATTTTAATAGCCTATCTGCCTTTATAACTACATGATTGCAGGTTTTGTCTGCCATGTAATGGAACAATTATTTATCTCTAGGAATGTTGACTGGCAGCGGCCTTTATTTAATAAAACTGTAGGGAAAGCCTAGAAGAAGTGAAAAAAGTAACCAGTTCTATCCCAGTGATGATTTTTCTAGTGCTGCTTAGAAAATTAAAACATCTGGTTGCTGTCGTATAATTTTTACTTTTCATTTGCTTCATTGCTCCCATTTTAAATTCTGTGTTGAAGTTTTAAATTGTATAGTCTACCCTGGCAATGTATCCCTTTATAGCTCTTTTATTGTTTAGTATGTAATATTTCACTTGTATAATTATGTCTAACACTAAAAATAAACCATTCTTTGTCTTTCACTCTCCAGTCAATGTGGGTGGCTACATCCAGGCTGTATTAGACCGCAACCTTGCTGAGAACATTTCACGTGTCCTTTATCCCAATGATAATGTGAGTAGCTATTCTCTGCACAACCATGATCTACATAAAATCCTCAAAACAGGCTCATCAGAAGGTGATTATAATATTGCTGCAGTTTAGTTCAGTTGCTTTAAAAAATGTTTTCAATCTGTTGCAGTAGATAAGGGAGTGATTTTTTTAAAATGTATTTTAAATTTTTTTTTACGTTTCTATCAGAGTTTATCTTGTTAATTACTTCGTCTGGTGAACCCAATAATCTACTAGCACCTCCACTAGGAACAGTTCAGTCCTGGACTGTTCTGCCTGCTATATGGAAACTGGCTGCAATGCAAAAAGGCATAGACTTGTCTTAATGGGGAAAATTATGTATTTTTTGTTATATACAGTCCAAAGCTTCAGTATTAGACCTGTATGGTAAAATGTTCACAACGTGAGCTCTGTTTACTTGACAAAAACAAGGCACAATCATCCCATGATCACCCCATGTTTAGGCACAATCACCCCAGGTTTTGGTTCAACGAAATACAAATATTGAGGACAAACTTATAAAGATGTCCAGAAGAGCACCAAAGACTGACCACTCCAATTCCACATCCGACTGCCGTTCAATGTATACACCGGGTGCAGGCTACAGTGTGCTCCCACTCCATTAGCAATTCTTGTACAATCAGCCGCACAGAAACCGGTATCCATAAAAATCCAGCTTTATTGTGATAAATTCCAGATGAAATCCAAAGTCAAACATATTATAGATAAAACCCCACCATATTGTCTCTCCCACACGTTTCACCACCTGGGCTTAATCATAGAGGTGAAGTCTCTGTCGTTCCAGTTGCTTATACCACTATCACCTGTGAAGCAGAGTGGTATTCAGCAGATATAAGCAACTGGAAAGATAGAGACTTCACCTCTATGATTAAGCCCAGGTGGTGAAACGCTTGAGGGGCGTTGGTGTGGGAGAGACACTATGGTGGATACCGGTTTCTGTGCGGCTGATTGTACAAGAATAACTTATAAAGATGTTGCATAGTTAGGTTGAAAAAATACACAACTCCAACCAATAGACAAATGAATAAACACATTAAAACTTGCAGATACAGAACCCTAAACCCACAATTCATCCAGAAGAAGGTAAGGAAAACCTTATAAGCATTGTCCAATTTGCTCCAATGGGGAAAACAATCTTCCTGATCCCCTAAGGTAATTTCATATCCCCTGGATCATTGTATTGTATTTTCCCCAAATTCCAGATACTTGCTAAAGATCCTTGTCTACAGATATTAGATAACGTTCTACCAGATCATGGAATATTTGTATGCTTGCAGGCACCTCTACCACACTTGCATATGCTCCCTGAAGAAGCCTGCTTGGGGGAAAGTTGATGATGAATTTACTACTGTTCCACTCATAACAGTCGACATTCACAGTGCTTCTCCTCTTTTCTATTTACACAAGCATGAAAGTTTACCTGATTTAAAGAAGAACTCCAGGATTTAAAAAAAATAACCCTTGCAGTGAAAATAGAGAAGTACTTAGTCGATCCTTGGTCCCACCTGCCCTAGACCGGTCCCTGCAGTCTCTTCTTCCCCCCGACTCCAGTGGTCTGAGGGCATGTGACGTTGTCAAGTCTAATGCAGTTCATTAGGCGTAAAAATGCAGAGGGACATACCACAGTGCAGGAATAAGGATCAGGTAAGTATCTCTTCCTTATTTTCAACCCAGACCAAAAACGAGCAGTTCACCCTAGCAGAGCGGGGGTAGCCCCACTGCAATGGTTAATTTTTTAAAATCCTGGAGTTCTTCTTTAAACTTGCTTATGTGTAAAAATATCTTTATTTAGAAAGATCTTTGGGGACTGAGCCAAGCCAATTACAGTAGGCAGCTTTACCCCAGAATCCATTCATTAGTTTAAATGCTCAGAGTAACATATTTAAAAACATATTTTTTTATATGAAAATTATAGCCAATGGAAATGATTGTGTTATCTACTGTAAATAATCCAATTGAAAGTCAGTTTTTAATGCATGTTATAAAATAAAGGCAAAAACCTAATTGGATTTGACACAGTGTGAGACTGTGGCGGGACAATACAGTGTAAGCCCCTCTGGTGCAGAGACCGCCGGGGGGGTCGGGGGGCCAGTTTGTTCCTTAGGTCCGCCACTATTTTTGCTGTTGGTAATAAGTGCAGTACAGAACTTGGTACGGTCCTGGTCCCCCTCCCCTGTAACTTGGTACCTTCCTGTACATGCAGGAAGTGTTTTTTTAGGAGGCGGAGCTTGGTCTGTAGCAGACTTTACCAAAGAGCTATCAGAGAGTGGAGCAGAGTCGCTTAAATGGTAAGTAAATGTTTTCAGCAGCCTGACGATGGGGGGGCGAGCCCACACACAGCCTGCACAGAGCCCGCAGTCCAACTGAGAGCCCACATACAGAGCCCACAGTCCACCTGAGAGCTTGCACAGCCCACCGAGGAGCCTGTACAGGCTTACATGTGCTAGTGGATAGATGAGGAGCAGTTAATGTTAGTGATAGAGTGTGGTTAGTGTTAGTGAAAAGGGTGTGTGGTTAGTGATAGAGAGTGTGGTTAGTGTTAGTGAAAAGGGAGTGTGGTTAGTGTTAGTGATAGAGAGTACGGTTAGTGTTAGTGAAAAGGGAGTGGGTTAGTATTAGTTAAAAGGGAGTGCGGTTAGTGTTAGTGAAAAGGTTGTACGGTTAGTGTCAGTGATAGAGAGTGCGGTTAGTGTTAGTGAAAGGGCAGTGTGGTTAGTGTTAGTGAAAAGGGAGTGCGGAAAGGGCAGTGTGGTTAGTGTTAGTGAAAAGGGAGTGCGGTTAGTGTTAGTGAAAAGGGAGTGCGGTTAGTGTTAGTGAAAAGGGAGTGCGGTTAGTGTTAGTGAAAAGGGAGTGTGGTTAGTGTTAGTGAAAAGGGAGTGTGGTTAGTGTTAGTGATAGAGAGTGTGGTTAGTGTTAGTGAAAGGGCAGTGTGGTTAGTGTTAGTGAAAAGGGAGTGTGGTTAGTGTTAGTGCAAAGGGAGTACGGTTAGTGTTAGTCCAAAGGGAGTGCGGTTAGTGCCAGTGAAAAGGGAGTGCAGTTAGTGTTAGTGAAAAGGGAGTGTGGTTAGTGTTAGTGAAAAGGGAGTGAGGTTAGTGTTGGTGGAAAGGGAGTGTGGTTAGTGTTAGTGAAAAGGGAGTGTGGTTAGTGTTAGTGAAAAGGGAGTGTGGTTAGTGTTAGTGAAAAGGGAGTGTGGTTAGTGTTAGTGAAAAGGGAGTGTGGTTAGTGTTAGTGAAAAGGGAGTGTGGTTAGTGTTAGTGAAAAGGGAGTACTGTTAGTGTTAGTGTAAAGGAGGTACTGTTAGTGAAAAGGGAGTACTGTTAGTGTTAGGGAAAAGGGAGTGGGTTAGTGTTAGTGAACAGGAAGTGTGGTTAGTGTTAGTGAAAAGGGAGTGCGGTTAGTGTTAGTGAAAAGGGAGTGCGGTTAGTGCTAGTGAAAAGGGAGTACGGTTAGTGTTAAGAGAGTGCAGTTAGTGTTAGTGATAAGGGAGTGAGGTTAGTGTCAGTGAAAAGGGAGTGTGGTTAGTGAAAAGGGAGTACGCTTAGTGTTAGTGAAAAGGGAGTGTGGTTAGTGTTAGTTGGACTCGATGGACTTGTGTCTTTTTTCAACCTGACTAACTATGTAACTATGTAGTGATAGAGAGTACGGTTAGTGTTAGTGAAAAGGGAGTATGGTTAGTGTACATGCAGGAAGGGTTTTTTTAGGAGGCGGAGCTTGGTCTGTAGCAGACTTTACCAAAGAGCTATCAGAGAGTGGAGCAGAGTCGCTTAAATGGTAAGTAAATGTTTTCAGCAGCCTGACGATGGGGGGGCGAGCCCGCACACAGCCCGCAGTCCAACTGAGAGCCCACATACAGAGCCCACAGTCCACCTGAGAGCTTGCACAGCCCACCGAGGAGCCTGTACAGGCTTACATGTGCTAGTGGATAGATGAGGAGCAGTTAATGTTAGTGATAAGGGAGTGCGGTTAGTGTTAGTGAAAAGGGAGTGTGGTTAGCGTTAGTGAAAAGGGAGTGGGTTAGTGAGGTACCATTAGCCCAATTGATGTCCGGGTAATTGAAGTCGCCCATCACGACTACATTGCCCGCCCTCCCAGCTATTTCTATTTGAGAGTGTAGATTTGCTTCCCCCTCCTCCCCTATATTCGGAGGCTTATAGCAAATACCCACAATAAGTTTACGGCTAGGGTCCGCCATATCGAGCTCTAGCCATAAGGTCTCCACATCTTCTCCACTGTTTGACGTGATATTTAGATAGCTTTTAACGTAAATGCAAACCCCCCCCCCCTTCTCCCACATCTGTCCCTCCTGAATAGGTTATACCCCTCTATATTAGTAGCCCAATCATGTGTGCCGTCTAGCCAGGTCTCCGATATACCCACTATATCGAAGTCCTCCGAGTATCATAATTTCATGCTCTTCTAATTTATTTACTAGACTTCTAGCGTTGGTGTACATACATTTAATTCCTGTCTTGTTATGGGACAAAATTTTATATCCTAATTGTTCCCCACTAGTTTTATTGTTTGGCCTTGAGTAGTGTTAGTGAAAAGGGTGTGTGGTTAGTGATAGAGAGTGCGGTTAGTGTTAGTGAAAAGGGTGTGTGGTTAGGGATAGAGAGTGCGGTTAGTGTTAGTGAAAAGGGAGTGTGGTTAGTGTTAGTGAAAAGGGAGTGGGATTAGTGTTAGTGAAAAGGGAGTACGGTTGGTGTTAGTGATAGAGAGTGCGGTTATTGTTAGTGAAAAGAGAGTGTGTTTAGTGTTAGTGAAAAAGCAGTGGGATTACTGTTAGTGAAAATGGAGTGGGATTAGTGTTAGTGAAAAGGGAGTACGGTTGATGTTAGTTATAGAGAGTGTGGTTAGTGTTAGTGAAAAGGGAGTGTGGTTAGTGTTAGTGAAAAGGGAGTGTGGTTAGTGTTAGTGAAAAGAAAGTGTGGTTAGTGTTAGTGAAAAGGGAGTGTGGTTAGTGTTAGTGATAGAGAGTACGG